GGCTGCAGAGAGACTGGAACTCTTATGCACTGCTGGTGGGAATGTAAAATGGTACAACCATTTTGGAAAATATGGCACTTCCTTAGAAAGCTAGAAATAGAAATATCACATGATCCAGCAATCCTCCCCCTAGGAATATATCCTAGAGAAATAAGAGCCATCACATGAACAGATATATGCACATTCATGTTCACTGCAGCATTGTTCACAATAGCAAAAAGATGAAAACAATCTAGATGCTTATCAACAGATGAATGGATAAACAAACTACGGTACATACACACAATGGAGTACCACGCAACAATAAAGAACAACCATGAATCTGCGAAGCATCTCACAACATGGATGAATCTGGAGAGCATTATGCTGAGTGAAATGAGTCAACCACAAAAGTACAAATATTGTATGAGACCACTACTATAAAAACCCATGAAAAGGTTTACACACAAAAAGAATCTTTGGTGGTTACCAGGGAGGGCAGTGATGGGGGTGGAAAAACAGTAAATAGACAATAGATCAGTGGTAACTTCGGTAAAGGGTAAGACAGTACACAATACTGAGGAAGCCAGCACAACTTGTTCAGGGTAAGGTCATGGAAGCTCCATGGACAAATCCAAACTCCCTTAGGGACCGAATTACTGGCTGAGGGTTGTGGGGACCAGGATCTCAGGAAACATCCAGCTCAACTGGCATAACATAGTTTATAAAGAAAATGTCCTACATGCTTCTTTGGTGAGTAGCGTCTGCAGTCTTAAAAACCTGTGAACGGCCATCTAAGATACTTCAGTGGTCTCACCCCTTCAGCAGCAAGGGAAAATGAAGAAAACTAAAGATACAAGGGAAAGACTAGTCCAAAGGACTAACAGACCACAATTACCACGGCCTCCACCAGACTGAGTCCAGTAGAACTAGATGGTGTCTGGCTACCACCACTGACTGCTCTGACAGGGATTACAACAGAGGGTCCCGGACAGAGCTGAAGGAAAATGTAGAACAAAATCTAACTCAAAAAAAGACCTGACTTACTGGCCTGACAGAGACCAGAGAAACCCTGAGCGTATGGCCCCTGGACACCCTTTTAGCTCAGTAATGAATTCACTCCAGAGGTTCAGCTTTTAGCCAAAGATTAGATAGACCCATAGGAAAAAAACGAGACTAAAGGGGCACACTAGCTCAGGGGCAAGGACTAGAAGGCAGGAGGGGACAGGAAAGCTGGTAATAGGGAACCCAAGGTCGAGAAGGGAGAGTATTGACATGTCATGGGGTTGTTAACCAATGCCATAAAACAATGTATGTACTGTTTAATAAGAAGCTAGTTTGTTCTGTAAACCTTCATTTAAAGTACAATTAAAAAAAAAAATTCAGAACTAAAAACTTTATGTCACTGAGATTTGGTATGTCAAGAAAGAAATCCAATTCAAATTACAAAGCTGTTATTAAAAAAACAAAACAAAACAAAGATTAGACATGCCCATAAAACAAACAATACAGGTAGCTTGACCATGTATATGAGACTAAACGGGCACACTAGCCCAAGGGCACGGATGATAAGGCAGGAGGGGGAAGGAAAGCTGGACAAATGGAAATGGGGAACCCAAAGTCGAGAAGGGGAGAGTGTTGACATGTCGCCGGGTTGGCAACCAATGTCACAAAACAACGTGTGTATTAATTGTTTAATGAGAAACTAATTTGCTCTGCAAACCTCACCTAAAGCACAAAACAACAACAACAAAAATTAGTAAATAAATAAATGTGGCAAGGGTGGGGGGTGGAAATCACAGCCGAAGCCTCAGCACACGTTATAGATTAAAATCCTCCCAGGAAAGACAAAAACATGTCTTTCTCCCCACACTCATCCAAACATTCTGGCTATACTGTAAATTTCTAGCAAAACAACATAAAAGGTTGGATTTTAGGGTGCCAAACACATACATGTTTAGAACTGTCTATCTGTCTAACTCTGGGGAGTTGACATCTGAAAACCAGTACACCTTATTTTTACAACATCCTCCGTGTTTGTACGTACTGGTGTTAACAAAAACGTCAACTGAGGTTATCTCCTAGTGAATTTTGGTGGTGGAGAGGGGACTGATCATGGAAAATAGTGATTGTTAGAATTAACTAAACTTAAAGAATAATTAAAACAACACTTTGAATATAATGAAGATTTAGTAATTGTTTTTAACATTAAAATGTTTGCTCGTATCTCCTTTTACTGTAAAGAAGGCTGAAGCCTAATTTTAAACTTACATGTTAAGATATTAAAAAATAGGATAGCCTTCCTGCTACTTGTTTCTGGATTTCGTGTGCTGAAAAGTTCCCTAAAAGGAGCTATAAATGTTCATTCCATAGCTCTGTTAGTCCTTCGACAGTTTGAAAATTGAACTGTATATGAATTAAATATTTTAAAACTAAAATTGCCATAGAGATTATGAAATGCTGGTACCGAAGAAATGTTCTGGAAACCACTCTTCTCTACTTAAAACCAACAAACCAAATCCGTTGCTATCCCTCGATTCTGACTCATAGCGACCCTATAGTACTGAGCAGAACTGCTCCGTGGGGTTTCCAAAGCTGGAAGCAGACTGCCACATCTTTCTCCCGCGGAGCGGCTGGTGGGTGGGTACCGCCCACCTTTCGGTTAGCAGCCTAGTGCTTAACCGCTGTGCCACCAGGACTTCTTTCTTTCCTTACTGAACCTAAAATAGTAGAAGCAGGAAGGTAGAAAGGAATGTTTTCTAAGGTGCTGGGCAAAGGTTAATTAAATGGCTCTCGTCCTACTCTTTTTGTTTTTAGAAAGAGCACGTGTGACTCTTATACTAAGAGAGCATTTTAAATGTTAAATAACTCAAACAATAGCAGGCCAGTCTGCACGACGCCCTAGCCGGCTTATGCTGAGCTGGGCAGAAGACAGCGGTTCACGCATCCCCAGGCCAATCTCGGGTTTGTAACTTTGCAGTCGGGTAGAGAAGGGAAAAGGGTGTAGGAGGCGGAGCAGGCAGGGTCGTTTCCGCGCCTCGCCGGCCTCCTGCCTCCCCACCCGCCCCGACAGGCCGCTCCGGCTCCACTTCCTCCCGCGACCGCGCGGCATCCCGGCAGCGCCCAGGCCCGGCCCGCGGGAACCGCACAGAAGGCGCCGCCGCTGCGGGTCTCGCCCGGCCCTCCCGCTCTCCACGGCCGCACTCACAGGCAGCTCCGACCGCCGCTCCCTCAGCCTGCGGCTGCATCGCGCCTCAATAGCTCGCCTCCCTCGCTAGTTCCTTCCGCCACAGCCACCGGCTCCAGCTTTTGGGCAGTTTGAAAATGGCGCGGAGAGATGATCCGGGCGGTCGCGGAGGAGGCGCCGCCGTTGCCTTGGTAACGGGAGAGGTAGGAGACTCGCAGCGCGCGGCGAGGACGCGCCCGGCGGCGATGGCGGCGCTGGGCCCCAGTGCCCGGAAACGCAACGACAGGACGGCGCGAGGCCGTGGCGCCCCCTGGCGGACGGGACCCGCGGCTGGCAAAACACGAACCTCCGCGGGTGCCTGTGATGGGATCCTCCTATCAGGCGGGTACGTAGGTCATCTACTATGTTCAAGTTAAAAACGCTGACTTCCCCCATCGCCTGCGTCGTGATCCCTGCAGCGGATTAGCCCTACCCGACAAGGTGAGCGCCTACGCACTACGTAATCTCCAGTTTAAATATCATGTTTGCAATTTTTTCCTGACAGTCACCTAACACAATAAATCATTGCCCCCGCACTTGTGTCCCCTTAACGCGGTGTGTAAACACATAGTATAGAATTCATCCCATCAAAACATAATTGTTTATGCCTTTCCTTCCCGCTCTCTCCTTAAAAAACCCTGACTTCCTTGACTCAGATCATTTTACTCAGCTGTGTTTCTCTAGCATCTATGCAAACATTTGTGAATGAAATTAAATTCAAATAAAATGATTATAGAGATCCTGTTCACATGGAAAACACGTGGACAAGTCCTAGAATTCCATTTCCCTCCTGAAACTTATAGATGGTCAGAAAGGAGCTCAATTCCTGCTTGTTTACTACTCTCCCTTCCGAGTAGGCCTTCCACTCTGAAAATGTTCTTACTCTCTGTGTATCATGTGCTGCTCTGTGGGTTGCAAATAACTTAGCACCCATTCACATATGCTTTAACGTTTCCATTTTGTATGTCCTGTTTTTTTGCATGCATTAATGAGTGGTTTTATGGAATTTCTGGAGGCTGTAAGTTGGATTCTATAGATGGCTTTTGTATGACGTTTTGCACATTTACAATTAAACACATTTTTGGGGGAGTAACAGCTAATAAATCATTTTTGAAAAGAGGTAACCATAAATAAATATCATAGCAAAATGGCTGTGCAATAGCCATCCAGTCAAGATGACTCTTTAACTTCTCTTTGCTCCAAACACAAAACAAGTAGAAAATATAAAAATAAAAACCAAGAAAGGAATGCAGATAGGTGAGTGGAACTTCTTTGTTCTTGGTAAGAAGTAGATGATGGGGCTAGAATTTGTTTTCTGCAGGATAAAGGGAACTGTAAGTGCACCAAGTGACATGTAAGACCAGTGTCAGGCTCCTTGCTGGGCTCCAAGGCCTGACTGAGGTCAGGATCCCTGGCGCACAAAGGAGTTTCAGAAGGAAACCAAAGCAAATGTTGCTGCCCACCACCCAGGGTCTAGGGCTTTGAGCAAGCTGCAGGCATAGGGAGGCAAGAGGAAACAGACACAGTGTGGCAACAGAAACTGAGCCTCCTGTCCAGACTTTACGCCAGTATCACCATGGGAGGAGCCCAGAAATGCCCTTGTGAGACCTGCTTGGCTCTTTACCGGAGCTCAGAGATCCAGTGAGACACCCTCAAAACTGATAATAGGGAGGAGAGAGAGCCAGGTGTAAAGAGAGAAAGAAATGGGGTGATGGGGGAGAACTTCTCACTGAAAATGAACCTGCAAACCAAAATGCCAAAACAAAGAACAAATCTAATGCTAACAACAATAGCCAACAAAATAAACAATAAAAGCATGAAATCTCTACAGATGAAATTAAATAAATAAAACAGTCTGATGAAGTCTTTAAAATGAGTATGTTTAAGATGATATAGATCAAGGTTTCTCTACCTCAGCACTATTGACATTTTGGGCTGGATAAGTCTTTGGTATGGAATACAGTCCTGTGCGTTGTAGAAATGTTTAGCAACATCTCTGGATCCTACCCACTAGATGCCAGTAGGATCTCCCCAGTTGTGACAATCAAAAATGTGTCCAGACATTGTGAAATAACCCCTGGCGGTCAAAATCACTCCTGGTTGAGAACCACTGGTCTAGATGGACGAAGGAATAATTGCCATTAAAAATAACAAAAATTATTAAATGAAACAAGAGCAGATGAGTATGAAAGAGAACTAATTAGAGAACTTGGAAAGTAAAAATATAGTCATAAGTTTTAAAAAAATTATTAAAGCAGATTAACTACATATTAAACACAGTTAAAAGAATTAGAGAATTCACCTAAAACCCAGTGCAGACAAAGAAGTAAAATGTATGCAAAAGCAATGAAAAAAATATACATGACAGCTTGAGAGGCTCCACAAAGGCACTAGAGGGATAGCAGCTACAGTAGGCAGAATAGCCCCCAAAAGATGTCCACACCCTAATCCCTGGAAAGTGTGAATATGTTATGTTGCATAGTAATAGGGATTTTGTAGTTGTAATTAAGGTTACAAGCCTTAAAATAGAGAGATTATCCTGGATTATCTGGGCGGGCCCAATGTAATCACATGAGACCCTAAAAGAAAGGAAGTTTTTCTGACTGGAGGCAGAAGAGAGATGTGGCAGAAGGAGAAGTGAGATTTGAAAGGTGAAAAGGGCTTGATGGCGCCGTTGCTGGCTTGAAAATGAATGGGGCAATGTGATGAGAAACGGAGGTGGCCCAAAGGAGCTGCGAGAGGTCCTCAACTGATAGCCAATAAGGAAAGGGGAACCTCAACCCGATGGCTGCAAGTGGTTGAATTCCTGCCAGCAACCTGAATGAGCTTGGAAGCAGATCCTCCCCCATACCCTCCAGGCTGGCTGACGCATTGATTTCTGCCTTGTGAGACCAGCCTTTTGACCTACAGAACTGAGATAATAAACTTATGCTATTTTAAGACACTAAATTTGTGCTGATTTGTTAGAGTAGTAGTAGAAAACTAATACAGCAGAGAAGCAATGTTGGAAGACATAAAAGCTAACAATTTTCCAGAATTGAATCAAGGGACAAATATTCAGATAAAAACTTTGCATCATTCTAGTTAAAGATGGCATGTTGAGTGTACACATTAGCTTCAGTTCCCTCTCACCCTCACCCTGCTAAAATGACAGTAAAGGGATTTTTAAGGAACTTTTAAAAAGGGACTAGGACAAAGAGAATAGGAGAGGATCCAATGTCAATAAAATTTTGGAAGCTGGAAAGCCAGTGGACAGCTGCAAACTGACATCTCAAACCTGAAAAATCTGAATTCCAATCAGCAGTAGGAAGAGATAAGAAGCAACCCAGCTACTCTAGAAACCTCAAAAGGCCCAGGAACTTGTGGTACCAGGTACCCCTGGAAGTAGAAATGAAGGTGGGACTAAGAGCAGGGTTGTCTTTGGTGGTGGGTTTTCCATTGTCCTGCTCAGTAGGAAATCTTGAGCTGGTTTCATCTAAAAAAACCAATTGCCCTTGAGTCAATTCTGACTGATGGCGACCCATGTATGTCAGAGTAGAACTGTGCTCCATAGGGTTTTCAAAGGCAGATTTTTTAGAAGTAGATCACCAGGTCTTTCTTCTGAGGCGCCTTTGGGTGGACTTGAACCTCCAAGCCTTTTGGTTAGCAGCTGAGTGTGTTAACAGTTTGCACTACCCAGGGACTCCGGGTTCCATCTAGTTCCATCTTTGCCTTCCTTGTCCTCAGTATTCTTCAGGTGTTCCTGCAGGATTCCATCCACAGGATCGATCACTTGGAACCTGAGCAAACTTTCTGGGCACAGACAGGCATCCTTCATTCTGGACATCAACAAGCTATTTGCTGGCTGCCATCAGTGTGTGTTCCTCTCTAACTAGTAATGAGAAAGACAATTGATAACACTCCTAGGCCGAGGTGACATGAATGCACAGACTATCCTGTCTCCTGGAGGCTCCTTGGCAATTGCTTGCTCAGGGCATGGGGTGTGGAAGGTGGAGAGTTCCTAGGCTCTGGACTTGGGTGCTGATTTTGTCAAGTCGATCTGGTGCCTCCCTGCTTTTCCTCCTTATATTAGTTTCCTAGGGCTGCTGTAGCAAACTACCACAAACTGAGTGGCTTAATACAACAGAAATTTATCACCTCACAGGTCTGGAGGCGAGAAGTCCAAAATCTTGGTGTCAGCAGGGCTGTACTCCCTCTGGAGGTGCTTGGCCTGTGGCCACATCACTCTAATCTCTGCCTTCGTCTTCACATGGCCTTTTCCTCTGTGTGTCGTCAAATCTCCCCTGTGCGTCTTATAAGGACACGTGTTATTGAATTCAGCACCCACCTGAATAATACAGGATGATCGCTTCATCTCAAGATCCTTAATGTAATTACATCTGCAAAGACTCTTTTCCAAAAAAGGTAACATTACAGGTTCTGGGAACTAGGACATGGACTTATCTTTTTTGGGGGAGCCACTATTTGTCCTGTTGGCTGCCTGGGTGGCACAAATGGTTAAGGACTCAAGTACTAGCCATAAGGTTGGCTGTTCAAACCCACCCAGAAGCATTTCAGAAGACAGGCCTGGCGATCTGCTTCTGAAAGATCACAGCCCTGAAAGCCCTATGGAGCAGTGTACTCTGCACACATGGAGTCACCATGAGTTGGAATTGACTCAATGGCAGCTAACAACAACAGCATTCAACCTACTACACTCCTAGCTCTTATATTTTTATTACTCTGAGGGAGCAGATAGACAAAAGACTGTGTCACATATCCTACAGGGCCTTACACTTGCATAATTGTTTTTCATTTTTCTTTTTCTTTCCTTCCTCCTTTGCCTCCTCCCTCCGTTCCTTTTTCATTCTACTTAAAAACTATGAATTTTCCAACCTTGTTTATTTATTTAGCTGTCATTGGAGCAGGAGCGGGATGGGGAGACCATCCAGGTAATAGTGAAATAATTCAATGAAATGTAAAAGTATTATTCTGTCATTGCTTTATAGTGTAATAGAGCAGTACAGTGAAATATGAAGTAGCATCTTATTGGAAGTGAGATTCTAAAGTCAGCCTATGAGACAAATATCATATGTTATCAAATATGTATCTTTAGCACTAGAATCACATTCAGAGTGATGAGATGCTCACTGTCCAGAAGCACAAGGAAATTGTGATTGACTGAGTGAACAGCAGAATTACATCCTCTGTCTCAGTTTCACTGGAGGG